CACACACGAAATAAAAAGCTAGTGCAGGTAACTGAAATTTTAAAAAAGATATTTAGAGTTAAATCTTTATAAACACTAATAGTGACTAATTTTGAAAAGTGAATGACAAACATTAGTAACTATCATTAACTTACTTGGTAAAAATAAGGTGTGCTTATAGTAAAAACTTTCCAATTACAAGTTACTGATTTTCAAGTACAGAAAATCATGAATTTTGGGATCAATAAAAGGATAATCAGGAGATACCATAGGACTCACTGCCAGCCCTCGTCCATAACTTGAGAATTAGAACTACAATCTTATCACTGCACTCCTCAGGTGTGAAAGAAGTAAGAGAAGGAAGATAGAGCTGTGTATGATTTAAAATAGTATAAAATATACTTTCTTGAAAAGGAAAGAGAATAATGATGCTAAGAATAAAAATCTATTTATCCAGCAGTATATTCTACCCATCCAGAAGTTTGTAAGGATAGAAGGAGAAAAGATTGCAAAAATGTCTTCATTGAAAAATGATTTGACTTTGCTCTTAAAGTACAATTATCCAACGATAATGAAGAAACTCATGTTACTCATGATAAGGATGATACAGATTTTAAGTTAGTCTATCAAACTGAAGGTTAATTTTTTTGTGCATTTCTATTATTCTAATCTACTATTTTCTCAGCATTCTAGGAAGGAGGCCTTATCATAATTTTAATTTGTAGTTCCTATCAGTATGTTTTATTTGTTTTAAAACAAAATAAAAGCAAAAATACAGTAGTCAAATGCTGTAAAATAAGTAAGTCAATTTATTCACTCGGTAAGTCATCTCTTCAGAACAGTTACTTCAAGTACCTATGTTATTTTTGTGGCCTAAAAGTTCTTTCTTATCCAGAAGTTACCATTCCATTAATTTAGAAACCAGAAGTAGAAACAGTATAGGAAAATGCAGTATGAGTTTTAAATAACATAGTAAAAAAATCCTCAAACTCATTACCATAGAGTCAAAATCAACTCTTAGCTGACTCTCCAGTGTGTTTCTGAGGCATGGGAGAAAACTATTCATCTTTCTCCTGGACAGTCCCTAGTGGATTCAAACTGTCACTGGTGGATTTGAACTGCCAGAGAAGTGCAGCCCATGGGCTAGCTGTGCAACTCTCTATGGACTAAGCCAACAGTGGGCCTAAATCACAGAGAGGTTACAAATTAGTAGGTAAGACAGCTAGCTGGGTAAGGAATTAAGATAAAACAGAAAAAGATGCAGCAACATTTATATGCCCACAAGCCAAACATGTATCAATTTTATGCAAGAATTTTTTAAAATGAGATTCTTCTCAAAAAATCAAACAAAAGCAATTTCACATCTGAATGAAAGATGAAATATTTCAGAAGAATCTGACAGACAGACAATACAGTGAAGAACTCTAATACCTTGACTGGCATTCATGTGACAATTTCACTCACATGAACATTAGAAAACTATTTCTATCAGTCTGACACACAAATCATTCTAGGTAAGATAAAATTTACTCTAACCTGGGGTTCCTTTTCCCATCTGGGGCTGCTGTGGTATTCTGATTCCACACTAGATGGAAATGTGTGGGACTGACTACTGGCACTTGATGTGGCCAGCCTTGTCCTAGACTGCAGTAGATTAGAAGTTAGACACTTTACAGGCATTCCTGGGTTAGAAGTAATTGTTTCAAGACCTGTGGGAAGGAGAAAAAAAACCTGAAGCCTTTATTATACCTTTTCCTGTCATTGCATTTCCCCAGTACTATGAGAATCTGAGAGTTGGACAGTGACTAAGGATGACAGAAGAATCAATGCTGTTGAGTTGTGTTGGAGAAGAGTATTGAATATCTTTTAGACTACTAATAGGGCAAACAATTATGTCTTTGAGAAAGTGCAGCCAGGGCACTCCTTGGTGATACTTCATTTCACACAGTCTGGGCCTGTTGTTAGTAGGGGTCAGTCCTTCGAAATAATGACAGCATACTTGGAAGGTAGAGGGCTGACACAGTGACTGTAACAATAGGCTCAAGTATACCAGAAGTGATGAAGATTTTATAGGATAGGACAAGGCTCAGATCCACAGTTACAGGATTGCTATGACTTACAGTTGACTCAATGGCACATAAAAATAACAACATGAGAATCTGTGTCTGTTCAAGTGCCATGCATATGTATAACTGCTAGGAGGTCTTTCTGGACCATTTATAAGATCAGATCACTTCCTACTTAGGAATCTCTGATGCACTCCATTTGCCTACACCTTAAATCCAAGGCTCCCTGTAATCACATTTGCTCCTTTCCCTATCTTTTTTACAAGCTTTCTTTTTATTACTCCAGCTTTCTTTCTATTGCGCAAGCTTTCTATTCTCCCACATTATATTTAATCTCTGTTGTTTGAATATGAAATACACTTTCATGCACCTGTGCCTCTGTTCATGTTTGTACCTCTATTTGAAGTGCTTTTCCCCCCAATATCCTTTCTACTGGTTGCCTTTATTAACATCCTGCTTGTCTTCTGGGGTGCAGGTTGGCTGTTGAGTATCATTATTTAAAACCATTCTAATAATGAAAATATAGGAAAACCATATCTGTTGCTATTGAGTTGATTCTGACTCCCCATGCTCCTCCAGGATAAGCAGAACTACCCTCCATATCCCTGTAACCTTTAGGGAAGCAGATGGCCACATTTTCTGGTGGGTTCCAATCACTGAGGGCTTAACCCCTGTGCCACCAGTACTCTTCTGTTACCAGCTATTACTGGATTTTTATTTTTTTTAAAAAACTCAATTAACTAGGTTGAGGAGGAATGTTTTATGATTATTCATATACTTGCCAGAGACTTTATATTACTAAAAATGATCATAAAGCTTTTAAAACTGTAAATAACTTTGTTTCTCAAAGGACACACTTATTAGAAAAACCAACTTTTTCATTTTATACTTACATGATTGCAGTAGCTTGCTAGAATCAAGAGTAGTATCCTTCTGGTCTACAGACATAGGACTAGTTAGTCCATGAGCAAACTGTGATATTTCAGATCCATCAGGTGAAAGAGTATCTGCACAGTCTTGAATATTTTCTGAAATTGGTGTAAACTATTAAAAAGAAAATGTTTAAAAAAAATGTTAAAAATGTACCTTCACCAAAACTACCTGAGATAATAAGAGCTAACAGAAGTGAAGGAAAAACAAACACTAAAAACAAAGCAAAATATCAAAGCAGATAAACAATTAAGCTAAAAGTGATCTAAAATGCTTGATATTTAAATGTTTTAAAATAATTTATGTAAAAAAGGAAATACAAGGAAAGACAGTTCAGAACACAAAATAAAATGTTGTTATTTAAAATTTTAAATGATAAACATAGGGCATTTTATGTAATTTTTTTCTAATGAAATACTCACAAATCCTAAAGAGCTGATGAGAGATAATACTTGTCCTGGAGTTCTTGAATAGTCTTGTTTAGGTTTAGCCATTGAGGGTGTTGTAAGAATATCCATCATATTGATATCTATGTATGTAAATAAAAGCATACAAAATTCTTTAAAAACTCAGCTACCTTTAACTAAGTCAATAAACATAATGTCCTGAACTTTGCCCTTCTTTCTACATTACTAAGCTTACATGGCTAGTGTTAAGAGAAAGTAAGATCTGGTGGCTTAGTGGGTAGGGAGTTGTACTACCAACAAAAAGGCAGAGGGTTCAACTCCATCAGCTGCTCATGGAGAAAGATAGGCAGTCTCCTGGATGATATACAGCTTCTGAAAACCCAGCTATGAGGTTGTTCTGATTTGTGAGTCTACGTTTTTTTGAGTATTTAAAACATGCTCAGATAAGCCATCAGGTCATAGGGGAAACAAATGAAAAAGTTTCATTGGACCATGTCTTGCTCTGACAGACAGTGAAATGACTCAAGTCTTAGTTACTTGAAGAGTATTCCATAAATAACATGCATATTTAAATATATTGTTGTTTGCCTTTGAGTCGAAAGCAACACAACCAGAATTTCTAGTGGGTTTTCTCATGGGAAGAGCAGCTGGTGGAGTTGAACGGTGCACCTATTGACATTGCAGCACAATTTCTTACCACTGGGCCACCAAAGTTTATATAGATGTGTGTTGGTGGTGGTGGTGTACCATTGAGTCAGAACCAACCCTTAGCTGATCCTCTGGTGGGTTTTCAGAGGCAGTTAACTGCACTTGAAGAGACTGCCCATCGTTCTCCCATGGAGCAGCTGGTGAATTTGAACCATGTGCCCTTATGGATTGCAGCACAGCTTCTTGACACTAGTCCACCAGAGCTCCCTATTTTAGTTATTTTACTGATGCTTAATTGTTAAGAGCCAGTTTCAATTGAAACAGAACAGAAACTATGTTATTCTCTAAAGACTCAAGGATCTATGAAGATCTAAGAGTAATTACTCATTTTTCATCTTTAACGAAGAAAGGATAACATTGTGACATTTTACCCTAGTTTGGAACAAAGCATTATTAAACATTACTCAGTATGAAATAATGAGGAAAACAGTGTACGTTAATGAAATGTGATGTTTAAAATATGTTGAATTTTTAAAAAAAGGATATCTTACCTCTATTCAAAGTAACCTTGGAAAGGCCAAAATCTGTAAGTTTAAGATGACCTTCATTAGTAATAAGCATATTGTCTGGCTTCAAATCCCTGCACACACAAAAAGACAAATAGCAGAAATATATCAATAAGTTGGTGTTAATTTTTAAATTACCATGAAAAAGAAAAGTTATAGGTCAAATTTATTTATGCTGAAATATGATACTCACTGGTAGCTCTGAAAAGTGAAGATGCATTCCAAAGCAAAATATCATTTGTATACCTTAATATTTTAAAAGAATTGTTGAACCTCATATTGTCATAAGTTTTATTTATTAGTTATTCCATTAAAATGAATAAATAAATGTCATTGAATAAAATAAACCGTCAGCCAAATTTTTAAAAATCACAGATAGCTCTTTAAAGGATGGCAAGAAGTTGATTAAACCTTAACGGAGCAGAGTCACATAATCATATTTTCTTCACACAGAATAAAATATTGTAAATCATTTGGGACTACAAAAGATAGTTCCTGTATATGACAGCAAAGGGAGCTCTGATAGCAGAGTCTGTAGCAACTTGTGCTGCTAACCAAAATGTTGAATGTCTCCAGCAATTCATCCTGGGAAACCCAGTGGAGGGTCATTCTAAGTCATATAGACTCAAGGGCAGTGAGGTGGTTTTTGTTGTGGTGGTGTTTGTTTTTGGTGTTTTTTTTTTTTTGTATGATGATAGTAAAGAAATGGAAACGGATATAACATACTTTATGTTGAAATGGTATACATAACCTCTGAATTTACTGTCCTAATATTTAAGTTTTACACCAAAAATATTTCATGAAATCTTTAAATCCAAGAATATTTTTGTTCTTAGTTGAAATCAAGTTGAGTAGAATTCATAGCAACCCTATACACAATAGCTCTGACCCCTGTACTATCTTGAGCCAATCTCACTGCCTCTAACACACCAGCCCCCATTGCCACAGTTACTGGGTGGATCCATCTCGTCTGTGATCTTCGTCTCTTGCGCTGACCCTCTACCCTTCCAAGTGTGATGTCCTTCTCCAAGGACTGGTCCCTCCTGGAAATATGCCCAGAGTATGTCAGATGGAGTTAAAAAAAAAAAATCCTTGCCTCCAAGGAGCAACTTGGCTTTACCCTCCTCTCCAAGATACCTGTCTAGCTTAATTAATAAAGAATATCTTCCTTGAGAATTATGCTCTTTTCTTCTCACTTTTTAATATTCATTCACTGCTACACATTTTCTTCCTTCCTTTTTCCCCAGTCCACTTTGTAATGCACCTCTTGTTACAGATGTTGTCATAAATACAGTGTCTAATCATATATTCCTTTCAGACAGTTCTTCCCCTCATGTTCCAATGAAGTGCTCATAATCTATCCACTTTTCTCATTCTCTCCCCAGCGCTCCATGTCAGTCCTATTTTATAACAGCAATATAATGGGAAACTTGCTCTTTTAAGATCTAAGTATATGGGATCAAATTGACAGTAGAAAAAAACATTACATAGGAACCTTAGAGGTGCAGCAGTGAGTTAATGAGGGAGAAACAACCTGGAAGGAAGGTGAAAATGGTTGCACAACTTCAAGAATACAATCAGTAATACTAACTTGTACATGGAAATATGAGAATTGGTATGTTTTTGTTGTATTAATTTGTACAAAAAACAACAAAATGAAACAAATCATTAAAAAAGAATAATGCTATACTTAAGACCAAAGTAGTATATTAAAAAACCCACAGGGATAGGGGAGCTCTGGTGGCCTAGTGGCAAGAAGCTGCACTGCAATCCCAGAGGAACACGGTTCGAATCCACCAGACGCTCTGCCGGAGAAGGAGGCGCAATATCCTCCTGTACCAGTCAGATCTGATTTGACGGTACACGTACACAAAATTAAAAAAAAACAAAAAAAAAAACCCACAGGGAAACAGAACTGTTGGCATATTTAAACTCAAATTACAAATTAGTACTTAAACATATAATCCAGATATATGTATGAGGGTTGTCAAAAATATTTGAAATATAACATATACAGATTAGTTACTTCTATTTTTAAGTAACTATCTGGATAAAAGTCAGTCATTACCTGTGAATTATTCCATGCCTATGAAGGTAGTCAAGAGCCAATGTTACTTCAGAAATATATTTCACAGCCATTTCTTCATCAAAATAGCCATATATATGTAGAAGAGATTTGGCATCTCCACCAATAAGATATTCCATTATCTATTGAAAAAGGAATATTAAATGTTACATAATAAAACCACCAGACTTATGTGACCCAGCAATCCCAGACCAAGGTATTTTAGCAAGATGAAGTAAAAGCATTAACATATAATGTACCAGCTGGAGATTCTCTAAAGAAATTAAGGAATATATTAAAAAAAGCAACATAATTCTGTGCCATTATTAAAAAAAATGAGGTAACCATTAAGTGGGGGAAAATAGAATAGTCTTTATAATATGGCCATACATCATTCATTCATTTGTTGTTATGTGCCATCGAGTCGCTTGCGACTCATAGCGACCCTGTGTACAGAGCGCTAAACGCTCTTCTATCCTCTGCCAACCTAGCCATCCCAAACACACTTATTCCCACCACTCCAGTCACAGAATTGATCCATTTCATCGAAGGTCTTCCTCTATTTGGTCGCCCCTCCACTCTGCCAAACACGATGGCCTTTTCCAAGGACTAGTCCCCTCCTTGCAACATGCCCAAAGTATGTCAGATGAAGCTTCAGAATCCTTGACTCCAAGAAGCATTCCTGCTTCACCTTCTCCAGGACAAACTTGTTTGTTCTCCTAGCAGTCCATGGTATATTCAACACTCTTCTCCAGCACCACAGCTCAAAGGCATCAATTCTCTTTCTCTCATTCCAATTCACCGTCCAACTCTCTGATGCATAGCATGTAATTGCAAAGACTATAGCCTGGATCAGGTGCACCTTAGTCTCCAGCCTGACATTGTTGCTCTTCAGTACTTTTTTTAAAAATTTTTTTATTTTAATGAAAATTTGCAGAGATTTTGGATTTGCATTCATTCATTGTTGCACTTTTCTCCCTGCCCAGCCCTCCTCCTCACCTCCCCCCCACTCCCCGCAGTTTGCTCCTCTCTTTGAAAAAGTAAAAGAAAAATTCTTTCTTTGGTAGACAATCCCCCCACAACCCTCCCACTGCCCCAGGTACACTCCACTATGCACCCTTAATTCTGGACTCTTGTGATAACTGTAATACCCTATCATGTATCGCTTTTAAATTATTCTCTCCCTCATCTGTTTCAATGCAGTATACATAATTTATCCAGTTTATCTCAGTCTTACTCTAACTCTGATATCAGTCCCATTCTACAACAGTGGCACCATGCAGTATTTGTCCTTTTGTAACTGAGATATTTCACTCAGCATAATGTCCTCCAGGGTCACCCATTTTGAATAGTATTGCATGTGTTCCTTGTTTTTCAATGCAGTGTAGTATTCCATTGTGTGAATATACCACAGCTTCTCTATCCATTCATTTGTTGATGGGCACCTGGGTTATTTCCAACTCCTTGCTATTATGAACAAAGCTGCAATAAACATGGATGTGCATACATCTGCTCGGATGTCAGTTATCGTCTCTTTGGGGTATATTCCAGAAATGGAATTGTTGGGTCGAATGGTAGCTCTTTAGTACTCTTGAGAGGTCCCTCACAGCTGACTTTCCCAATGCAATTCGTCTCTTGATTTCCTGGCTGCTGGTACTGAGTGTGTACTGTGGAGCCAAGCAAACAAAAACTGTTAACTGTCTCATCTCTTCACCATCCATTGGCCCAGTGGTGAGAATCTTTGTTTTCTTAATGTTGAGCTTCAATCCATATAGGAGGCTGCAGTCCTTGACCTTCTGCAGTAAGTGCTTCAGGTCCTCCTCAGTTTCAGCAAGCAGGGTTGTGTCTTCTGCGTAACGATGTTGATGACTCTTCCACCAATCCTGATTCCACATTCCTCCTTGTACAGTCCAGCGTCTCAGATGATCTGTTCTGCATACAGATTGAAAGGTATGGAGACAGAATATATCCCTGATGAACCCCCTTCTTGATTTTGAACCATGTAGTGTCTCCCTGCTCTGTTCTGATGACTGCTTCTTGGTCCAAGTATACGTTTCGCATTAGCACAATCAAATGTTATGGGATTCCCATTCTTCTGAGTCAGCATCTGGTGGATTTGAACCATGTACCTCTGGGATTACAGTGCAGCTTCTTGCCACTAGGCCACCAGAGCTCCCTCTTCATTCATTAAAACAGGTAAAAAAAACCCCACCTGTTTCTCTGGAATAAACCCTAATTATTTTTTTTTAAAGTGTTCACCACTATCCAAAAAAATAAAAATCAAACAAAATCCCAAGTGTTTTTTTACTTTCTAAAGTTTTCTGGTCTTCTTAGTCAATCTTCCCCTCCCCCCTTTTTTGTTGGAATTTAAGCTTTCAAAGCTAACTGGTTTCCTATTAAATCTCACTAAGTCCCTGCAACCATATTTAACATAAGTTTAAATATTTATGAAAAGAACATAAGCTGCAGCTTTAAATGCACATGAAACTCTCCATGCATAATGAAATTCACCACTTTCTAGTAACTTTATTTTTAAACAAATTTTTAAAAGTATTCCTATTTTGGGGAGAGGGATTGTATAACGAGTTTTTTTCTTTTTCTTTTCAAGAAGAGTGAATGGGGGGCAGGGGAAAAAGTGCAACTATGAATGACTGGAAACCATATGTCTCTGTAAACTTTCATTAAAATAAAAAAAAAAGTATTCCTATTTTATGTCATTTATTTAACAAATATTTTGAATTCTACATGCCAGAATGTTATAGGGCATTACAATGTTCTACTGAAACTTTATAACAATCTTTGCAGTAGTACTACTGATAGCCATTTTACATATGAGGAACTGAGGTAGATAGGCAGAGTAAATTGGCCAATGTGACATAGTAAGCAAGTGCCAGAGCTGGAACTTGAACCCCAAAAAATCATGTTTTGAAACCAGAGCTCACTGATTGGTGAACAAAGAACAAAGTAGATTTACTAACTCACCAAGTAGACATTGTTTGCTGACTGCAGTGAATAGTACAAATGGACAATGAAAGGACTTTTGCTTAGCGCCAGGGCATCTCTCTCAGCTTGTACCTGATGAGTCATATTTTTGTTGATCATGTCTGCCTTTTTGACAACCTGTAATAAAAGTCATGACAACAGACATTGTCATTGTTTCCTTATTACAAAATGTTCTCAATTTTCAAAGTTGCCATCACAGAAACACAAAATGAAAGGAAATATATATATATCAAATACCACCAGAAATCTCAGCTAGAAAATAGTTTAGACCTGTGGAGTTAAGAGTTTATCTTTCCTAGGCATTGCCTGACTTGACCATGTGGATGGGTGGGAATATGTGAATTGGGCATGTTAGCCTACTCACAAGGGGACTGGCCAGTCTCTCTATTAAATTGAGCCATCCAGCGGCAGGAAGAGGATCATCTTCGCTGCCAGCAAAAAAGAAAAAGAACGAAGAGAATATTGCATGTTCTTCAGGCCCAGAAATTCTTGCTCCAGCTACACCTTTCACAGCAGTGGCCATGGCCAAACCAGAGAACCAACATGAAATAAAGGTTTTACCTACTGGGGACTGCTAACCCCTATTGATAGAACAAGAGCTAAGGGCGTGGGCGGGGAGCCAATATTGACAGGACTGAGAACTTTGTAACACTGACCTAAAGCCCCTAGGTTCAAGGCTGAGATACCTGTGAGTGCATTTTGGAATCTGTCCTGTGATTAACTGTATTTGGCTACTAACCCGAATCAGAGCCTTCTGACTTCCCCAGTATGGTTCTGTGTGGTCTGTGAGCTACCATATTGGATTTTGGGCTCAGTAAAGCAGTAAGATTGGTGATGAGATGAGCATAAAGAGGTAGAGGAGCATGGGGGACATGTATGACCTCATCAGAATTGGTTTTGTGTTATTTATGTTATTGACAGGTAAAGGTTAGATATGGCTGCTTTTTACAAGACTAAATAGTTGTCTTCAAGACAGAGCTATTTCCCTCAACATAAAGGTGCAAAACATTACATTCCATTTAGTGGGTTCTGACTTCTCCTGACAGGTTTCCAATGCTGTAAATTTTTATGGACACAAATAGATTTACTTGTCTTCTGCAGAGCAGATGGTGAATACAAACTGTACAAAGTTCTATTCTGTTTTTCCTGTTATGTACCTTTGAGTCAGAATAAAAAAATAACAATAAAACCCTTTATGATCCTAATAAGGTGAAAGACAGTCAGGTTCAAATACCTAGACATAAGCACAAGTAATATGAGTAAATATTTCTTTATTACTTCTGATTATTTGACAGATGGTGTTGTGAATTGTGTCCCTTCAAAATATGATGTAAAATATGTTGTGGAATACCATTTGGGAATAAGCTATTTTTGTTATGTCATTGAGGTAGGATAAATGTCGGATATATCTTGAGTCAATCTTCTAAGATGTAAAAGAGAAAAGCAAGCAAGTTAGGAAGCAGAAATGAAGGAAGAGTTGCTAACCTCTTAAGAGAAGAAAACCCTTCCATAGAGTTGGTACCCCAAATTCAGACTTCTAGACTCCTGAGAAAATAAATCTGTTAGACATCCACCTTTTTAGTGATCTCTGTGTCAACAATTCTAAATAACTAGAAAAGGCAGTTTGTTTGACTAAGGAAAAGTGATCTTATGAAAAGAATAGATAAGAACTGCTAAAATGCAAGGTAGCAAATGCTACCTTGTAGAAAACAGAAGTTCAAATTTCAAGATAATTGTTATATAAACAAAACAGTGGCTCTAAACTGTGCTATAGGAACAGCACAAAACTACTGCACAAGAGTTACAGTAGAGAGCTCTGGTAGCCAACTGGTAAAAAGTTGTGCTGCTAACGCAAAGACAGAAGGTTTGAGTCCACCAACTAATTGCTTTCCAAGAGAAACCTAGGCAGTTCCTTCCCATGCAATTTACAGCCTCTGAAAACCTGCTCGAGGGTCAGCTATGTGTCAGATCTGACTCGAAGGCAAACAACAACATATTTATAGCACGAAACTGAGTAGTAGCAATGAGTCCAATTCTTAACACCATTTTATAGAAATAATATTTTTTATTAATCTGAGTATTTAATAATATCACTCATATACTTTCAATTCCAGCCTTACCTCCTTACTATAAAAATGAGAGAAATCAACAAAGTAAGCCTGTGGCATAATTTTATTTATCATTCAACTGGATAGGTCTATGATGGCATGTTTGTCTTGTTTACCATTGAACCCAATATCCTACACAAAGAAGGATGCCTAAGGTTAGTGAGGACTATGGTAGAATTCTTGGGAGACCTGGTTTTGATTTCTGGCTAATGCACTTTCATTCTTGCCAGCACCATTTATCAGGGGAGGTTTGCCTGTTGTGATGCTAAATGGATTTGAGCAAAGCTACCAGATAAAGACATTCCAACTTGACAATTAATTTCCCCAAAATCACCCAGTAGAACTCTATGGATGTCTAGTCCTGTATTGCATGGGTTTGTCATGGGTAGGGACTGACTTGAGAGCAGTGAACAACACACTATGTGTATTAAAAGGAAAAGCAAGTATCTTAGGAGCATAAGCATAAGGGATAATTAATACACAAAAAGTTGGGAAAAGAACAGAGAAGGGTAGAAGAAAAACACTTCTGGAAGAATAAGCATAAATATAACCTCAGAGGCAAAAACATATATGGTAATACTGAGGACTGAAACAAAGTGAAACACTGACCTAAATGAGAAAGCAGGAAAACAAAGTGCAGCAAGGGAGAATGTTCTCTGGTTTTCCGGGTAAAAGGAGTCCAAGACTGAAGGGAATGCAGCTGAGAAAGGTGTTTCAAGAGGAAAAGGAAGACGTATACTACTATACGAGGTTCTCTGCAGGAAGGTAATAGTACATTTTCAGAAAGTGTCACTGCCAAAACTGTCAAAGTTCAACCATAGCTGGGAAACATGAACTAACTAACCCATAGGCCCTGAAATTCTTGCAAATCTATCTCCTAGGCAAGTAGATATCATTGCTTAACCAGCATATCTTGTCTTGCATATTTATTGAAAAGATGTAATTAATGCCTTAGAAACAAAATAGGTTGAGTCCTATACTAAAAAAAGTCTCAACAGTTAGATCACAGAGTGGAGCTTCCAGTCGAAAAGTGATGTGTCTCAGATGCCTCTTTGTCAAAAGCATATGCTGTGCTGGTTCCTCATGTAAGTCATCATTGTTATTCCAGACACTTAGCCTCTCTAATGACCCTATAAAATTCACTAGAACTCAATTCAGTGGAAGAAAATGAAAAGATTCATCTATTATGATACTTGAAATAACCAGCAAATGGTCTTTATCAAAATGCTGGGTTCAGTTTGGGCCTGAAGATGACATCCCCTCAAGTTAACTGCCACACAAAATAGAGTCATTTTATGACAAAGACATAATGAGATAATCAAAGCAATTTCTAAAAGGCAACAATTTAACTCAGGTGATGTGCATGGCTGGCCAATCTGCAGATGTCTTAAAGAACAACACATCACTAAAGTAATGTTGTAGATAATGACTGAGCCATAAGTGAAGGTCCCAGAGTAAAGACAACACAGAACAGAGCCCTGAGCTGGCCCACAGAGGAAATGGAGCGTGTAGTCTGGGAAGAGAAACATATGCTCCTGTAAATGAATAGCTAAAATTAGCAGCAAGGAACATTTGCATATTACACGATTATTGTTTATATTCCTGTATGCTTATATCATGACACAATGTGGTTCTATCAGGTAGAAATCTCTTTCCCCAACTAAGCACATAGTTTATTCACTAAAACGATTTGTTGAAAAAGACAGCTGGCTCATGTTGCCCAGAAAACATAAGGAGGACTGAGTCTTCATTTTTCTATTTCCAGGGCCCAATACAACGCCTAAAATACAGAGTTGGGCTATTGCACATTCTTTCCTCATTTTCATCCTTTTGGCCACTAATGATAATTATCACTGTGCTAATTAACATTCTCTCGTTGCTGATGAGGATCCTTGGTAGCATACTAGATTAAGCATTGAATTCTTAAATGAAAAGATCAGTGGTTTGAACCTACCAGTTGCTCTCCAGAAGAAAGAGGAACCAGTCTACTACTGTTGAGATGTACCGCCTCAGAAATCCTATTCTACAGGGTTGCTGTGAGTCACATTTGAAGGCAGTGGGTTTGGACTGTGGTTGTATGTGTGTGTGTTAGGCTAGTGAAAGATGCCATCTCTACACTCATAGATAACTTCCTCTGTAAATATTTTTCTTGCAGCCATACAAACAGAATCCTCTACCCAAATGAAAGATGTAAATCAGATGTAAGTGCTTAGTTCCCAGGTGCTTCTCAGCATGTACAATATTGAAGAAGGGTGACCCAACTGAGTGTGGAAACTACAGAACAATATCATTGATTTCACATGCAAGCAAGATTCTACTGAAGATTATCCAAAAACAACTGAAACAGCCGGAAGTCCAGGCTGGGTTTAGAAGGGGTCGTGGTACTAGGGATATTGTAGCTAATGCTAGATGGATCTTAGCTGAAAGCAGGGAATACCAGAGGAGTGCTATATGTGTTTCATTGACTATGCAAAGGTGTTTGTGTGGATCATAACACTGTGGCTGACTCCAAGAAGATTTAAAAATACTTGGAATTTAATAACAACTATTATTATCAAATGTCTGAAGGATGACATATCATTGCTGGGTGTATTATATATTTTAGCTTAAATTCTTTCAATAAACTTAAGTGATAGTTGTTATAATTCTTGGTTTATATCGAATTAGAGGCTTAGCTGATATCGATCCAAGTACACAAAGATTCAACTAAGTTTTTATGTCACCGTACTATTGTACTTGAAATTTGTGATAATTTTTATATGTTGTTGTTGTTCTGTGCCATTGAGTCACTTGCGACTCATAGGAACCCCATGTACAACAACCCTACACCCTGCTCTATCCTGTGCTAATCTTATTGCCTCTGACACAACTATCCTATTACCCCAGTGAGTGAATCACTCTATCTCATCGAGAGTCTTACTCTCCTGGGTTGTCCCTCCACCCACCTAAGCATGACATCCCTCTCCAAAGACTGGGCCCTCCTTGCAACACGTCCAAAGTATGTCTGAT